TTTTTTTTTTTTTTTTTTTTTGTCCATTCTTTCTTAACATCTGAGTACATCCTCAGTTTGGCACCTAGGAAGTTTTCTCTGCCTGTGCCTCTGAGGACGTTGTGAGGAATAACTCACCCAGTAGGGAGCAGTGATGCCTACTCCATAGCCTGCTGCCCATCAGCTCCCAGTTACAAGGGCTCAGTTGGACCCGCAGAGGAGCAGCCAAGTCCAGGCTGCACTCTAGACTTCTAATATCTAGAACTCCAGTAGCCAGCTTCTTATTGGACTCTTTAGGATTTGGCTTTGGGCTTTGGAGTCTGATTTATTTTTACCGGACCACTTACGAGCTGGTTATGTGATCCTAAGCAAGTTTCTTAAACTCTGAGCCTTCTCTTATTCATTTAAAAAAGAGAGTAATACATTGTATTTCCCTTTCTGTGTTGTTGTGGTGTCTCTGTGATAAGTGGTAAAGAGTCCATGTCTCTCTCTTCTCTGATGAATGAATGTCGTCATGCTGTGGATGATATATAAGGGAAGGCACATTGTTGGGTTGAGGTTTGGAATTTACAGGCATTCTAATCAATATTTGCTTGGCTTTCCCTTTCTATCAGAGAAATTTGGAAAGAGAATGTAGTTCTTTCTTCCAATGGGGCTTCTGCTTTGGTGACACTGACCCCCACACCCAACCCTGCCCCGCCTCTTTCCCAGGTGAGACCTCCGTGCACAACAGCATGAGGCTGGAGCCAGAGAAGGCCAATGGCTGGAGGATTCCCTTTAACAACCATGAAGGTGGCTGTGGGGCTGCCATGCGGGCCATGTGCATTGGTCTCAGGTTTCCTCACCTCAGCCAGCTGGACACACTAACCCAAGTGAGCATCGAGAGCGGCCGGATGACCCACCACCACCCAACAGGCTACCTGGGGGCCCTTGTGTCTGCTCTTTTTACAGCTTATGCTGTGAATGGCGTCCCACCCCGGCAATGGGGAAAAGGACTGATGGAGGTACTGCCAGAAGCTAGAAAGTACATTGTCCAATCAGGCTACTTCGTAGAGGAGAACCTTCAACACTGGTGAGTGGGTGTGCAGGTGCTGTCCCTGCTGGACTGAGGTGGATCTGTGTGTGCAGATGCCTTACGAACGTGTGCCTAGGATTCTGAGATCACAGTGGTGTCTTGGGTTCTCACAACCCAGCCCCCTCCCTGCCCACCTGCTGAGGATCTCGAGTTCCCTTCCAGGCACCCTTGCCTCCAAGTAACCAAATGGAGCCGAAGGAGTAGTGTAGCTGCAGTCCCTCCCTGCCGTGGAGGGATCCTGTTTTGTGCTCCAGCTTCCTATAATTATGTGGCCATCTATGCTATGTTCCCAGATGAACTTTCTCAGTTATTTCCTACTTCCATAGCACTAGTTTTTCCAGGATTGTCTTGACATACGAATACTGTCTCGAAATCCCTGCTTAGAATGCCTTAGAGATAGATTTTTCTATTAGCTAATCAATAAGCAACAAGGCCATATCTTCCCCTTTTGGTGGATTTGCTTCATGTTCTCTTTCGCAGAATAAAAAGGTCAAGAGGCTTTCTCCTGAAGTCACGCTTGGCTGTGAAGTACTAAACTTCCCCCTAGAAAAGATAACACTTGATACCACTCTCAACCAAGGGAAAATAAACCTTTATTTCCTACCTTTAACTTGATATGTATTTTCTTTTGTTTTGTTTTTGGTACCAGGGATCGAACTTGGGTCCTTGTGCTTTCGAGGCAGGCAGTGGAACCACTAAGCTAAATCCCTGGCCCTGATATGTATTTTCTTTATGTAGCAACCAGGTCACTGTGTAGATGCTTTGCAAATATTTATTAAATGCATAGAGCTTAGATCTAATTTTGATTTTTGTGTGCGCAATTTATGGTAATCAGTCTATGAAGTGAAGTCACCATGGAATTTTCTGTTTTCCTACATACACCTGGTACTTTTCCTTATGGCTTTTGACTTTAGTGTTTTAATTGACTGTATATTTTCCTTTCCTGTAGGTCCTACTTCCAAAATCAGTGGGAAAAGTACCTGAAACTAAGAGGGATTTTGGATGGCAAGTCAGCCCCTGTCTTCCCCCAGCCTTTTGAGGTGAAGGAGAGGGATCAGTTCTACACCTCCCTGAGCTACTCTGGCTGGGGTGGCAGCAGTGGACACGATGCCCCCATGATCGCCTATGACGCCATCCTTGCTGCAGGGGACTCGTGGAAGGAGCTTGCCCACCGTGCCTTTTTCCATGGTGGGGACAGTGACTCTACCGCGACCATTGCTGGGTGCTGGTGGGGGGTTATGCATGGCTTTAAAGGAGTGAGTCCTTCTAACTACGAGAAACTAGAGTACAGACAGAGGCTGGAAAAGACTGCAAGGGCTTTGTACTCTCTTGGGTCAAATGAAGACACTGTAATCAGCCTTTAGGGTGGGGATAAGAGGTTCATTTCTCACGGTTTCGTCTTCCATGTAGTCTCTTTTCTGCTCAGTTTCTTTTCACTTTTTCTAAAGTCAAGAGTCTTAACTATGTATGGAGGGAGTTTTGAGATTAAAAAGTCCCCCAAAGGCACCTCTTTGATCTGCTTTTTTGGAGTACTGTAGTTGTCGATGTAAATGTATTTTATTTCCTTCATTAGATTGCTTTCTAAGTATTTCATTTTTTTGTTGTTATTGTAAAAGATGTGGTTTTCCTAATTTCTTCAGTGCATACTTTTTTGTGTGTACAGGAATGCTATTGATTTTTGAGTACAATTTTGTACCCAGCTGTGCTACTGAATTTGGTTATTAAATCTAGAAGTCTTTTGGTGGAGTTTTGGGGTCTTCTATGTAGAGTATCATGTCATCCACAAATAATAATAATTTAACTTCTTCCTTTTCTATCTTTATTCCTTCTTTTTTTTCTCTTGTCTAAGTGCTCTGGCTGACATTTCCAGATCTGTACTGAATGGGAGTGGTGATAGTGGACGTCCTTGTTCCTGATTTTAGAGAGAAACTTTTCAGTTTTTTACCATTTAGTGTGATATTGACTATGGGTTTGTCATAGATGCCTTTTATGAGATTGAGATAAAGACAATCTGTTCTAATTTTCTGTAGGGTTTTTTTTTATCATGAATGGGTGATGGACTTTGTCAGATGTTTTTTCTGCATCTGTTGAAATGATCATGTGGTTTTTGTCCTTGGCTCTGTTGATATGGTGTATTACATTTATTGATTTGTGTATGTTGAACCATCCCTGAATCCCTGGGATGAATCCTATGAGGTCATGGTGTATTATCTTCTTGGTGACTTGCTGCATTCTAGTTGCCAGTGTTTTAGTAAGGATTTTTGTGCCTAGGTTCATTAGGGAGATTGACCTGTGTTCTCCTTTTTGGTTGGCTCTTTCTCTGTTTTTGGTATTAGGGTAGTGTTTGCTCCCAGGAATGAGTTTGGGAGTATTGCTTCCCTTTCAATTTCTCTAAATTTCTTGCAGAATTTAGCAGTGAATCCATCAAGACCTAGGTTTTTCTTTATTGGTAGGCTTTTAATTACATCTTCAATTTCATTGACCAATATTGGGTTATTTAGAATTTCTGTATCTTCTTGATTTAACTTAGGTAATTTGCGTGTATCTAGGAATCTATCTTCTGTGTTTTCCATCTTATTACAATACAGGTTCCTGAAGTAGGTATTGATAGTCTTCTGGATTTCTGCAGAACCTGTTGTGATTTTACCCTTTTCATTCTTAACTGCATGGATTTGAGTCTTTCCTTTTTTTGATAAGACTGGCTAATGGTTTGTCAATTTTGTTTACTCTTTTAAAGAACCAACTCTTCATTTCATTGATTGTTCTCAATCCCATTGCATTAATTTTTGCTCTTATTTTTATAATTTCTTCTGTCTTATGAGATTTGGACTTGTCCTTCTTTTTCTAGAGGCTTGAGGTTCAACACTAGGTTGTTTATTTGAATTCACCTTATTTACCTGATGTAGGAATTCACTGCTATAAATTTCCCTTGTAGAAATACTTTCCTTGCATACCATAACTTCTGGTATGTTGTGTGGTATTATCATTCAATTGTAGAAACAGTCTAATGTTTCTTTAATTTCCTCTGTGAGCTACTAGTTGTTTAGGAGAATGTTATTTAATTTCATATGTTTATGTAGTTTTCGTGGTTTCTTTTGCAGAAGGAAATAAGTGATCTCTCAGACCTACACAAGCAGGCAGGACATCAGTGACTTGCTCCTCCCTAATCCTGAGGAGGCACTGTTCACTAATGGAAGTAGCCTTGTCAATCATTTATAAAGCACAGGCAGGCAATTCTACAACTCTTAGAGACCCATTTTCCCAAGCTGGTTGTAATCATGCACTGTAAAGGACACACCAAAGATACATGTCTGCAGTCTCCGTGGGCAACCAAAAGGCTGATAGGAAAGCAAGAAGGACAGACTTACAGCCCCATTCTGGTTCTTCCTCAAGGGACACAGTGACAAGCTATAAAAATCCCACATAGGAAGTGGTTCTCAGTCTTCTGGAAAGGTAGAGAGAGTCAATCCGACCCTAAAGTGACCTCTGGCAGAACTTTTCCAAGATACATCTGAGTCCTAGCTTTGATTGCTGCCAATAGCACTCACAATGGTTCATAACATGCCCCAAACTGGGCTAAGTTTGAGCCCATTTAAGATGTTATATGGGAAGCCATTTCCATTCTCTAATATGATAGTAAGCCCAGAAACCATGAGGCTCTTACAAGATCTCATTATCTGGGTCCAGTACAACAGGCTATCCAAATATATGGGAACAGTCTTGCCAACTCCTGGCCCAGGTGGATCACCTACTCTCCATCTTGAAGACTAAGTGCACATTAAAACTGGGAGAGAGGGCACACCTGCTGACCAATTAAAACCAAGATGGAAGGGCCCCTTCTCAGTAATCCTTTCCACACCCACTGCAGTAAAGGTTGCAGAAATAGATAATTAGATTCATCTTTCTAGAATAAAACTAGTCCCATCTGAACTATCTACAGAAAAAGATCACCCAAAAGGAGAAAGCTACTTCTGTGAGCCTCTGAAGGATTTGAATTTTCTCTTCAAAAAGCAAGACTGATGTAAAAACAAACAAAAAAAGACTGCTGTGCTGCTATAGGAAGGATGGGAATCTGACCTGCTCCTCATATTCAGGCTAATAGCAAAGCTCCATGGTCATTAACTCTTGTCTCATTGTTTTCTGACAAGTGTTTCTTTCTTCAACCCAGTCAGTGAGCCACAGTAAGTAGTAGGAAAGCATGGACTCCCCAGTGGATAGGGTCTACAGCCCCTTTTAGCTTGAAGAAGCTATAGAAGACAGAGCCCTCCACTTCCTCAGCATTCCATAAAGAATTAAAGGGATTTGTGTCTCTGGGGGGAGGGGTGACACAGATTAGGTCATGGCAAAGCTGCCTGTGGAAGTAGGCATGACCTGTTAATTACAAGATCCCAGAACACAGCACAACAGTTCCTAAACCCCTGCATGTGGATCTCTTCTGAGAACTCGAGTCGATTTTCAATAGGATGCCTAGACCTGACGTCAGCCTGAGGCATGGGGTCCCACAGCACCACCTCTCAGAATCAGTATGTAGAAGTTCTCATGGGTTTCCTCAAGCTTTAGACAGCATAAGAGCACACAGATGCCAAGAAAGTCTTGTTGTTATGGCTTTGCCCATGATAGCTGGCCGTGCATCCTCTAGGGTGTACAAAAGTATCTCGCGTTCTCCTCTTTTATGCAACCCACAGCTGCAGAGCCAGTTTCTCTTTCACTCTTCACGTTTACTTTCTCCAATAAACTTTGTCACTGCTTTAAAAAAATTATCCTTCGATTCAAGGAAACACAAACTTGACACATCTAAGAGTTATATTTACCCTATATCATGTTTAGGGCTTTGTGGAGAATTCATAATGTAGATACGATTGGTTATTACATCATCAACCACTGGTGATGAACTCAACATTTAGCCTCTCCTGCAAGGGTGGGAAGTGAAAATTCTGACCTTCTATTCACACAGTCACGGTTCTCCTGGCAACCAGTCTCCATTCTGATGCTACCCAGGAGCCCAGCAAGAGTCACCTCATGAGGAAAAAAGATGCAGGAAATTACAAAGGCTTAGGAGCTCTGTGTCAGGAACCAGAAACAAAGACTACGTGTTATATTAGATTAAAAGATTCTCCCATCAATTTTATCTACCAGGGTTTAAGGAACTCTGGGCCAGGGACTGCACACAGAGACCAAATTATCTACCCATCCATCTATCTCCTTCCCACCTTTTTTTCCTCCCTTTCTTTTTTCTTTTTCTTTTTCTTTTCTTTCCCTCCCTCT